TCTCTCTCTCCCTCTCTCTCTCTCTCTCTCTCTCTCTCTCTCTCTCCATCTCTCTCTCTCTCTCTCTCTCTCTCTCTCTCTCTCTCTCACTCTCACTTATGTGTCATAACAGGAATGGGGACATTTCTGCTTTGTGGCGGTTATATAAGCTTTTGTTGGAATTTTATTGGTTGCAAGCAGGTCTCCAATTAGTCATTCAGAATCATATATGCATTGAACGAACTTTTAGATACTATAGGAACATATTTGGAGGTGATTTCAGACAAATAGTTTTTTATATGCTTATCGTAGACATATTTGTGGGCGGTTTGCGTAAACTGATATCATATCTAAATCTATAAGTATTGTAAGTATTGTGTTAGAGTGACGCTACTTTTGCTTTTGGCGAGCAATAGAAAAATCTGGATTTCCTTAACTGTAACTTGTAAATTAATGATCGGAATGTCATGAGACTTCCACGTATTTCGTTTGACCCAAAATTCAAACGGATTCAATAATAGTCATCAGATGTACTTACTGAATGACATATTGCAGTGCGAGAGAGAGCAAGATAGCGATTTTTTTTTTTTGGCTTTTTGCTTTTTCCAAGTGACATCAAAAGTTTGTAGAATTCTCGCAAATTATTGCAAATTTATTGAAATTCAAAGTTGATTTACCCATTTCTCTCCGTCCGTCTGTCTGCATGATCTTCGTTGTTGGCACTCTCCTGATCGCAAACTTGAAGATATTGACTTTAAATTTGGTGGACATATCGAAAATTTTTGCACGCAGGTTGGTATTGAAAATGGTCTAAATTGGTCGGAGCAAAAGACGACAGTGGAGCATAAACTGAACGCAACTTCGTTTTTCTTAAGAAAAAACGAGGTATGTTGGTAAACTAAGTTGATACGACGAACTTCTTTTTAATGTCTGCAGTTCTTATTCAAAATTGCATTCCATGATTGAAGGCATGCTGGACGACTGCTTGTTGAACTTTAATTAAGGCGGAGGATTTAAACGATCAATAAAAGATCGTGCTTAAATGAAGTTCTATGAAGTTAGAGGAAGATCGTCAGTGATTTATGAACTACCGATAGAAAAGATCTGCTTAAGCCAGAATGGTTAAAAGAAAACATTACATTGTTTAGGTGAGAAATCCGGTGACGTCCAAATTATTACCTTTTTCCGACTATGGAACAGTGCATACTTCTTGTAGAACAACTTCAAAAATGCGTTCAGATATATTGCAGCATATTGACTTTGTCGCTGTAGTCATTTCAAAAGGGACCGTGATTATTACACTCTATGTCGCTTATGGTACAAGATATATTAGTTTGGGGAAAAAGAAATCCATTATTTTTTCGGTAAATGGCTGCACTGTTAGATTTCTCGTAAAGTATCGATCAAACAATTTCAGATTTATGCTCGTTGGAAAGGTGACATTTCGCAGTAAAAAAAATTCTTTTGCTGTTTTTTGTTTGGTGCATTCAGTTGTGAGTTACAGCGTGTTAAAAATGGAAGTGAACAAAGAGAAAATTCGGTACATTTTACAGTTTTTCTTTGACAAAGGCGAAAATGCAAGCCAGGCGGCTAAAATTGTGAATGGTGTTTATGGTTCCGATACTGTAACAGCCAATTATGTGCAATTTCGGTTTCGTAGATTCCGTTCAGGAATTTTTGATGTTAAAGATGCACCTCGCACAGGTAGGCCGGTCGTCGAAAATGTCGATAAAATCGGAGAAATGATCGAAGTTGACCGGCATGTTAGCAGTCGTAACATCGCCCAGGAGCTAAAAATCGACCATAAAACAGTTTTAAAGCTGGATTCAAAAAGAAGCTCGATGTTTGGGTGCCACACCAATTAACAGAAAAAAACATGATGGATCGAATTTCCATCTGCGAAGCCTTGGCCAAACGGAATGAGATAGACCCATTTCTTAAACGGATGGTGACTGGAGATGAGAAATGGATCATATACGATACGGTCATGGTCAAAGAGCGGTGAAGCACCTCAAACGGCCAGGAAGGTTTTGCTATGCGTTTAGTGGGACTGGAAGGGGATTATTTATTATGAGTTGCTTCCATATGGCCAAACGCTAAATTCTGATCTCTACTGTCAACAACTGGACCGTTTGAAGATAGCGATTGACTAGAAACGGCCAGAATTGGCCAACAGGAGAGGTGTCGTGTTCCATCAGGACAACGCTAGGCCACACACATCTACAGTGACTCGCCAGAAACTTCGGGAGCTTGGTTGGGAAGTTTTAATGCATCCGCCATACAGTCCGGACTTGGCACCAAGCGATTATCGTCTTTTTCTTGCATTGCGAAATTTCTTTAATGATAAAAAATTGAAATCTAGGGAGGATTATGAAAATCGACTACTAGAGTTTTTTGCAAATAGAGACCAGGACTTCGATGAGAGAGGCATTTTGAAGTTACCTTTAAAATGGCAACAAATCATACACCAAAACGGTGCATATTTGACCCAAATCGGACAATCCGAAGCGTGTTAAATAAAGTACTGAAGTTCATATAAAAATAATGGATTTCTTTTTCCCCAAACTAATATTAAGATTTGTATGTGACTTAGGGTAAACTCACGATTGATTCTGAATTATTTTCTGGGTCCATCTTTCTCGGTCTATTTTTTGAAGCCGATGCTACATCGGAGATGCTAATGAGAAGTAAGGTTTTATTTGGGAAAAGAATGCAATCTTAAGAAAATTTTTATAAAAATACGATCAATAATAGTAGTTGGATGTAAAATTTAACTGTATCAAATTTGGGCTAAGTAGATTCACTTTTCCAATATCACCGCTTACAGGAGTTCGCATTAAAGAAAAGAGTATATATATAAAAAATTTGATATAAAAAAATAATTATATCAATATAGAATCACACAGGTCTATTTTTTGGATCCTATTCCATTTAAGAGTCGTTGTGAAAAGTGAGCATTCATATGGCAAAAAAAGTCTTAAGTTTTAATATTTTGCGATCAAAATTAATTCACAATAGAAAATTTGCCTTCAAAATTAACTGCTGCACGTACGTCAATTTATTGGATCTCGTTTCGTATAGGGATTATCATAAAAGGTGGTCCTTTCCAGGAAACTAAAGTGCAACCTATAAAATCTTATCATGAAAATGAATAGCAAATCAAATGAAGTTGTGTGTAGAGTAGAGTTTAATGGCCGACCTTCCTTGTAAGACTCTAACGATTTTATCTCTTTTTATTATTTTATTTTAGATTGATTCCGAAGAAGAAAGATTACCAGAAGAGAAATTTGTGGATGATTTGTCAAAATCAATACCGCAAGGCACAGACAAAACTCCGGAAATATTAGATTCAGCTTTAAAGGATTTACCCGACAGGTACGTGATTTATATTTATAGGTTACATTAAATAACGGAGTATTATATGGATATTATGAAGTTAGTATTATGATGATGATCTTCCCCTTATTCCACCGCAAAAATGGAACTGCGATACTTTATAATGTTGACTGGACATAGTCGATTGTATCCATGTTGCACAAGTTATTGGGCAATTATCTAACTTTCAAAAATTTACTCTGCTCCCAGCGTATATTGTGTTGCGTGCGTGCGCTTTGATCGATTTGGCGCATTTTTAATACCAACCTGCATACACGAACTTCCAATCTCTTTGGCAACTTTGAAGCTGATATCTTCATTTCGCGGCTTGTTTCGCGGCGAATTTTCAATGCAGACGTTGCCCAGACGCACAGACAAACATATTTAGACCAATTTCATATTGCATAGTTTATATGGTCTCCAAACCTATCTTCTGCTTTTATTCGACAATAATTAATAGAATTTATGACTTTATGACATTATAAATCGATATCGATCTAAAATGTGATACAAATAATACTTTGGATTACTTAAAAGACTAGATCGGGGAAGTGGCACTCCTAGATTTAAAAGTATATTTTTTTGATCTAATAGCCGCGTTGGTGGATATAATGGATCGTCTCTAACTTGAACCCAAGCAAGCCATTTATTTATTTTCCGATAGATTAGTTTGAGCGATGGAGAACAATTATAAGGTTATTTAATTGTTTGCTTTTAGATAGATCCGGTCTTATTTTCAATAGGAGACTCTTGTAGCACTTAACAACACTGTAGGGAGTAGTAGGCTTATTAAAATAGAATGATTTATCTATATGGTTAATTAAAAGTAATTAAAATCGAAACGAGAACAGCAAAGTTTTATTAATTTTTGTTTTCTTTTTTTTATTTTTAAATTGTTAGATGGAAGAATTGGGTAATACGTGGTATATTTACTTGGATTATGATATGCGGATTTGCACTTATTATCTATGGTGGACCGCTGGCATTAATGGTGACTGTAAGTTACATAAATTATCATCAAATTTAAAACATCGGATAATAATACATTTTAATTTATTACATTTTAATTTTATTTGTTAGACTTTGCTTGTCCAAGTGAAATGTTTTCAAGAAATTATATCGATTGGCTATCAGGTATATCGTATACATGGTTTACCTTGGTTCCGAAGTTTGTCTTGGTATTTTTTGCTTACCTCGAATTATTTCTTCTATGGCGAAAATTTAGTTGATTACTTTGGTGTGGTCATTAATCGTGTGGTATAGTAGCTAATAACGAACACTGCCAAATCTATAAGTGTTTATTCAAATTTTTTACTCGATTGCTTTTTAGGAATATTTAAAATTTTTAGTGACTTATCATCGCTTTCTTTCATTCGCCCTCTATTGCATTGGCTTCGTTTGGTTTGTTTTGTCATTGGTCAAGAAATATTATATGAAACAATTCAGTTTATTCGCCTGGACTCATGTCTCGTTGTTGATCGTCGTAACGCAGAGTTATTTAATAATACAAAATATATTTGAAGGTAAACGTTTTTTTACATTAATTACATTTAATTAAAAATATATCGCAAAAAATATACTATATATGTATATAAATATATAAAATTATAATTTTAGGTTTAATATGGTTTATTGTACCGGTTTCGATGATAATATGCAATGATGTTATGGCCTATATGTTTGGTTTCTTCTTTGGTAAAACTCCGCTAATTAAATTAAGCCCGAAAAAGACATGGGAAGGTTTTATCGGCGGCGGTTTTGCTACCGTTTTATTTGGATTGCTTTTCTCTTACATATTATGTCATTATCAATACTTTGTCTGTCCCATTGTATATTCCGAAGAATTGGGCAGCATGTCGATGACGTGCCAACCAAGTTATTTATTTACTCCGCAGGATTATAGCTTGAAAGTGGTAAGTTTTAATTATTGTTGTTCTTCGTTTTTCAAAATGTAATGGAATTTTATATGAAAATTGTTTCTTTGCAGTTGGGAATAGGTAAAACTATTAGTGTATTTCCATTTATATGGCATTCCATAGCCTTGAGTTTGTTCAGCTCGATAATAGGGCCGTTTGGTGGCTTTTTCGCTTCCGGTTTTAAGAGAGCTTTCAAAATTAAGGTACACCTCTTATTACAAATATTACATATAATAAATATCAAATAATTGCTCGTAGATCAATTATTAGCGCTAAATTTGATCAACAATCGTTTGAGTGATGAAAGAAAAAAAAAAACAAGGAACTAATCAAGTAATAGGAGTTTTCCATAGTTACTTCCACTGTCACTTTCAAGTTTATTTGCCTAATATTGATTTATACGGATTTTCCAGAGCGAATTGATTTAATTACGTCGCTTAGTTTTATCAGCCTCATTAGGCTAAGTCCGTAAGCACGCAGGCAGTACCGCTACAAATGTTTGGTTAATTTTCTCCTTTTTCTTCTGAAATAATAATAAAATATTCGATTTTTTATATCGAATTTAATTAGTTAATGTCTCGATGCTTAAGCTTCAAATTGGGGATTCATTTTTCTTAGTTACTAATAGTTGAAAACTTACCATCTCCTAGTTATATTCTATGATTTAACGAAAGAGCAATACATAAAAACAAAAAGAGAGGATTATAAAAATTGTGCATTCAAATATTAATGAAATGACGCGAAATGAAAGACCGCAGAAGACTTAAGCTCGCAAGAACCGTTATATTATGTAAATTATGAACGTAACTATAATTAAGTTATAGTTATGAAATTCCAGTTGGATTGAAAAAAAACGATGACGACACATCCTTCAATATGCAATATGATTGATTCCAAGATCACTTATCGAATCGTTTCGGGCAAACTAATATTAGTGAAATGTGTTTTTTTTTTTTTTTTGTTTTTTAATATGCGCATTATTCATAATTTTTAAATTTACGCAGGACTTTGGTGATATGATTCCCGGTCATGGTGGTATTATGGATCGCTTTGATTGTCAATTTTTAATGGCCACATTCGTTAACGTTTACATTTCCAGTTTTATAAGAACTCCTTCTCCTTCCAAATTGTTAACTCAGGTAAATTAAAATCATATTCCCATTATTTCTCTTATCACGTGACATACTTTATTCCCTTCTTATTCGTCCTTCTTCGCTTATATAGATTTACAATTTAAAACCGGAACAACAATTGCAAATTTATAGTGCACTCAAGGAGAATTTGTTTGATTTGTTAACTTAAATTTTCGTATACATACCTACTATTACTATCTATTAGACAGAGAGGGAGAGAAAAAAAAAATAAATAAAAGAAAGAAAGAGAGAGAGAGAGAGAGAGAGAGAAGAAAAACAAACAAACAAACAAACAAGAAAATATGTATTCATATAATTTTTTGAATATTTTTTTACATGAATCGATGAATATTTATTAAATATATTATTATTTTTTATTTTTATTTTTTTTTTGTTATGTTTAATTTTTATACATATACATATACACATGCAGCGAGTCTAATTAATATTGGGTTTTTTCGCTCGACAAAAAGTAGACGCTTGTTAAACCTAGTCCTCCACTATTCAAACATAAAAATTTATTTTACTATTTTGTACTACAAGGGAATACATATTAAAACATAAACAATGAAACAAACAAAACATTATTCCGGTAGATAAGAAAATTAAATAACTTCAAGTACTCAAAAAACATACCGTCATCAATATTAGTTTTTTTTTTTTTTCATATATCAAAAATTACTATTCAGCGGAATATCATTTTTGCTTAAACGTTTTGACATATTATGCACAATTTTTCATGCGTAGGAAACAGGGATGTTAATTCCATTCCTCTTGTAGTGCATTTATCAGTTCTTACACGGACTAATTCGTCCCACATATTTTAGATGGTGTTCATGCCTGGTGATTTATGGAAGAGGGTGAAGCACTTTGAGGCAGTTATATTAGAGTAATTTCTGAATTAAAAGGGATTTACACTACTTGAGGCCGTTATCTTGATAGAATTTGAATGTGTCCAAAATACCAAGTTTGTCCTCACTTTCTTTCAAATTTCCCTTGTATACCCTTAAATACGCCTACGGAAACTGACTGAATTGAAAAACAGACTACAAGAGGATTGGAGTAAGATCTTTGTTTCCTACACACGAAAAATTGTACAAAATATATCAGAACGTTGAAACGACGTTAAGCAAAACGAATACCCCACCGAATATTAATTTGTAATTATATACGGTTTTTTACTTTCGTATCCTTTCTTCTATGAAAAAGCCCAATATTAGCGAAGCTACGTTTTTGAAGTTGTCGAAGACATTTAATTTTCGTGTCTACTGGAATAAAGTTTTTTTTTTTTTTTTTTATATATTATGTACTCCCTAGTAGTGCAAAACAGTAAGTATGTTTGGACGGACTGTCGACTAGGTTTAACAAGTGTTTATTTTTTGTCGAGCGAAAAAGCCTACTAATATTAATGAGACTTACTGTATATGTCTCTATATTAAACGATTAACTCAATTCTAGCCGAAATAAGCTTTAGCTAATTTACAGATTTTTTTTTCTTTTTTTTTTTTTTTTTTTAATCAACAAAACATTATTATTGTTTTTAATAATGAGAATTTTTTGTTGTTTTTAAACAAATGATTGATTGTTGAAGTTTAGACATTCTTTAATAATTTTAAATACTGCTTTTAAATGTAACGATAGTAAAATAAATTTACACAATAAATATATGTCTAGTTTGTCTTTCGAATTCATTTTGTGTTAAGTTTGGTTTAATGCATAATTTTTAAATTAAAAAATCTCTCAATTGAATAATTAATAATTTTAAAATTTTTTAAATTCATAGGTGAAGGTATTTATAACCTAAGAAAATAGCTTGTAAATTCGTCAAAGTCATTTCACACTCGTCGATAATAGGAGAGAAGAAAGTTTAAGTGATTTCTGTTCAAAATTTAAAGCCACTAAGACACAAATGTGATTTGCAAATTGGCAAATGGCAGAAAGAGATTTTCTTTTATTAGCATCGAGCAGTAAAATTTTTATTTTTATAATTTCTTTTGTAGCGAAATAATTTAAAATTTATTATTATAATGTATGTAATATTAAAAAATATATTTAAAAAAAAAAAAAAAATCGTTTGTTATTTTTAAGTGCAATATTTATATAAAGTAATTTCGATATATATTTTTGTTTTCTTATTTATTTTTAAGGTAGACATTTAAAATATTCGGTTTGTAAAAACAGTTGAAGACTACTATAAAGTATTTAAAACTTTTCACCACAGACGCAATATTTCAAAAATTTATTTAAGTTGTGGAGTTGTGGTAATGTTGTAGCCGGGAGAAATCGTTTCAAACATCATATAACATGTCTTCTAATAGTTGTTTCCAAAGGAACCCTCTATGCAATAGAAAAATTGATTTTAGAATTTATTCTATTACACGTAGGATTATGTATGTAATCCTTTATATAATTTCAATAGTTATTGTCGTTATTTTTGCTAACTGCAATTTTTTTCAAATTTACTTTAGGCATATTCTTCATGTCCATCAAATGCGACATAAATTTTTCGCAATTTTTGTCTTAAGAGCTTATGTACATACACGCTAGCGAAGAAAGCCCGGGTATTTGATATATACCATCGCTTGTAACGATCAAATAGCTTTACTACATTATTTGAATACAAGCAAACATATACTTCGATTTCAAGATTATGGGAGAGGAGTCGACTTTAACAGACTACGGCTGTCGCTTCTTTCATTGATTATTGCAACACTTACTGTAGCAAAATTGAGAAGAAAATGTTATACTTGTTGGTTGGCCAGATGGGATGTAAGCCGAGCGCAATGGACGAAAAACTAGAACTTAATAATCTATAAATAAATAAGGTTCGTTTAAAGATAGTTTTGATCGTCCGTAATTAGTTTGCGCTGCTTTTTTTTTTTTTTACTTTATCACGTTGAGGTAATCAATATATACAAAGCATACAACTTTTTTAGTGTTCGTGTAGATAAAAAGATCTCGACTAACAACTCCATCGTCGTCGGCTCAAATCTCATATGCGATAGAGTTTGCGATAGAAGCCAACAGATAGCACTTAGATTCGAGTGCTTTAAGACTTTAAGTCTTACAATTTATTTCTCTGCCTAAATTAATGTATCGTAATCACTACGTTATTAAACTTTAAGATAATGTGAATTATAGTCTTTTAAGAGATAATGGGAATAATTTCCATGTTAAAAGAGCGTACAATATCAAAGTCCTTCGGATAAAGTGTTATAAGGACAACTTAGCTTTTAACATTGCCTTGTGGGCGAATTTTTTTGTTTTTAATTGAATGAGATCCCATAAAACAGCCGAAGGCCTTCGAAAGCAAGTTTTTATATAAACGTATTTACGTATTTATATATACTTACAATATATATATATATATATATATATATATATGTGCATATTATCAGCTAAGAGCGCACCTACTGGCGCCCAGATTTCGTCTTTAAAGGGCTACAGCTATTACTACAACTCGAACGCTATTCAGATATTAGACCATTTGTTACACATGCCTAAGTTAATGAAGAATTTTGTTTATACGGATATGTATATTTAAGGGATTTTACTGATTATTTGTAAATGTTACAAGCGGGTCGAGGCACTTAAAGATTGGATTTTATCGTGAATTTCGTAACAGGTGCATACGTCGTTAGGCAGGATGTCTTTTTTTTTCTTTCGTTTTCTTATTTTTTACAACATTAAAAATAGAAAAAAACTTGAAATTATTTTCCTTGAAATGATCAAAGACTCAAAATAGAGAAGGGAAGAAATCTCCTAATGTATAAGGATTATTTATTTGTTATGAATTGAAATGAGGAAAGAGAATTCTTATTGTTAAAAGCAATTAAATCTTAAACAGAAACAATCGCATTCATATAAAATCATTAATTACTATATGTTATGTGTATTTGTGCGTTAAAATCTTAATTCCTTCTGTAGTTATCTCACTCTTTAACACACTGGAGTATTAAAAAACTAAAATGCTACAAAAAACAAAATTAATAAATAAATAATAAAAAAAAAAGAATGAATAAACTGAACAACAATATTTAGATATAAAGGAATATTTTGATGTTTTACTTGTGGAAAAATTCCAAAAATTACATACTAATAATATTTTAATCATAAGTGAATGTCTGTCTTGTAATTAAATTGAATACAAATTTTTGAAAACGTAAATAAACCAATGGTGTATTTAAATGTAAAGCATTTTTCTTTCTCTAATAATCAGTGTAAATCGTAATGCTTCTTACATCCACATCAACAATTTTGTTCTTGTTTGACGAAGTTGATATCAAAAAAATAAATGAATTTTCTTCTCTTTTTTTTTGTTTCAAAAGTTATTGATATCTTGCATCCAATTGACTGGTTAACATAGGTTAACATTTAATAATAAAATTTACTTTAATTCTAATTTATTATATAATCGCATGTTCGCTGGTTTCGTAATTTATTAAGTAATTTTACGCCTATTGCGTTTCACGGTGTTATTAGCTGACAGCTAGGTAGGGGGCCGATTATTTTTGGATTTGGGAATCCGTTTCGGTGGCTGCGCCCTTCTCAATAATGCAGACGTCTCAGGAAGGCCCCTTCTGCCAACTGCGGCACTGGTGCTAGGAGAAGATAATGTACTCTTTCGGAGTACTGTTGACACAGTATCAGATCTATGTGTCCATATGAATTCATCGTATATACAATCTTCCTCAAATTCAATTAAGAAATGCATTCGTTGCATTCGCTCACGCAATGAAAGCAGAACTACATTCAACAAAATTGTCTGGAATTGATAACGATATTGTATGTGCTGGTTTTGTAGGCGGTATAATCGGCCAGAAGTTCGCATTTTCCCGATTAAATGATTGTCTAGTAATTCGACTTGTGAGCTAACTTTTAATACTAAAATAGATATGCCGTCTGGTGCTAGAATTTCTTCGCATTGTACAAAGTGGATTATACGCAATCGCCGTAATTCCTCACGAGCCATGCGTAAGCTACGATTAAGTGCTGCCATCGTACGTATTTGCAAATTAAGTAACCGAGGCTCTTGAGCACTTTCGATAATCTCCTCGTCGTCTTCGCTTTTAGGATTAGCTTTATTCAACTTCGAATGAATACATTTTATCGTTATCAAAAGGATCAGCAAAATTATAATACCGACTATTGAGAACATAGCCTTCCATAATAAACTGCCGAGTATCTTTTCATTTTGGTAATGTGGTGCTCTTAGCGCATAATCGACAACATAATTTGAAAGGATTCGAACGCAAGTCTTGGCATTTAAATCTTGGGATTGTACACCCGCCGGTATAATTATTGTTTTAAAGCTCGTGTCTTTTAATGGAAAAATAAATCTTTTAAAATATTTCCATATATTGTTATCGACCTCTTGGTTCTTTATATGCTTCAGACATTGCGTAACCATTTCATATAAATAATGAATACATGTTTCATCCTTAATGAATCCCGCGTTTATGGATTGACAAACTTCCTCCATTTAAATGCTCTTAATTGAACTTATTTACAAAATATTAAATTTATGTAAAATATTAATAAAATTTGAAATTTTCCGGCAAGATTTTAAATTTTCTGAGTTCCTTTGCGATGTAAGGCTTCGCTTGCTATGTTACCATATTCTTGAGAAGTATTGAGAAGTAAAAATGAGAAAACTTAGCATTCAAGACATGATATGCAATGTTGATATAAATCAATATAGAAAGAGTAAAATTTAAAAAATCAATCTAGGCATAAATGAACCAATTAAAGAATTGTACAAAAAAACAAAAATTTTAAAGAAATTGTAATATCCGCATATATTCGATCTAGGGGACCCATTTGTCCACATAACGTAAAAATAGAGTTTATAAAAATCTGTCTCCCCCCCCCATTAGGCAAAATCAATTATCTAAAATTCGAAACATACATAAGTCCAATTTAAATGATTCCTAAAGCAAGCGAAGGACTAAACGCATGGAAAACTTCAGGACATCGATAGGATATTTGAAGCAAAAGTTAAGGAATATGAGTGAGTAAATCTAGCTCGAGCTCGTTTCCTCAATTGATTGAAATTGCCTTTCTCGATGTGTATACGTTATTACATCGTAATAACCAATAATAGTAATAGGTAGTGTAAATTATGTTTATTTATTTTCGAGTGTTTGGCATCTGTTGCTTGCTTCTATTTGTACACATGTCTTTTAAAAAATATATAAGACGGAAGCCGATCAAATATAAACGAGAATTGCGCTTTTATGCTCTGGATACGAACATTCTGTCACTAGTTTGGGAATAACAATAATTTTTCCTGCAATTTGGAGGTTTTCCACTAAATGGAAAAAGCGCTGAATCATTATAAAAATGAAAATAATACCAGCGATTAATATCCACAAAATCGCAAAAAAGAGAAGAGTCCAGAATGCGATGTTATTTTAATAAATACCTGTTAAGAAGAAGAAGAAAAGAATATCAGCTGAATTTGGTGAGAGAAATGGCGGTTAATTTGTATGCTCAAGTGAAAATACTACAAAGCCTTCGAATATAAATAATTGAATGCAATGGAAACGTTGAATTGAAGTCTTTTAAGTAAAACATAGAACTGGTCAAGTATGTCTAAAAATAGGCGGTCTTGGGAACGGCATAATGAAAATGATAGACAAAATAAGAAAAAAAAATCTCTTGAGCCGTCTAATGCCAGTGTTTTATGGTCTGAAGCAGACAATACCCTCTTCGCGGATGTTAAATTGAATAATTCTGTGTATAGTGATCAGCAAAATAAGCAACAATTTCTTAATAATAATTCAGATAACAGTTTGTTCAATGCGTTAATAATACCTACGGATAATAATACCCCTACTAATCAAAGTGCAACCCCATTAACGCAAATATTACCCAATATTGACGGCAATGATACATTGTTTACAGAGATTAATTTGAATGAATTACTTGAAAAAAAAGATAACAATGGACAAATGGAATCCATTAAACCGTCATCCTGTGATGAAAACGACAATTCCTCATTTGAAGATGGGCTGCAGAATACCCAAAGATTTCTAAATGACGTAGCTTTCAAGGTTCCCGAGCGAATAACTAGTATTCGTAATGTTGCGAAAGAAAATCAAGCATTTATTGAGGAAACTAATGTCAATGCAAATAGCTTTGTACAAGGCACCCAGTATGAAACACGAGAAGAAATACAAAATCGTATTCTAACGGATGAATCAAACAGAACTCATAATCAGCTTAATCAGCAGTTAGAGAATTTGTCCAGTCTGAATTGGGAAACACAGCTATTTGCCGAAGTTCTAGACATGGTTCCTAATAAAGGTCACTTTTACGGCCTGCCCGAAAAAGTAAAGCAAATGATTTTCGAGCATAAACAGATTAAAAGCTTATATGGTAAGCCAATGTAATAATTATGCTATAGGAAAATGGACAACTGTTTTTCGTCTTTTTTTTTATAGAATGGCAAGATGAGTGTTTAAATTTGCCTGCTGTACGACAACGTAAAAATTTAATTTATGCCTTGCCTACTAGCGGTGGCAAGACATTGGTAGCCGAAATTCTTATACTGCGCGAATTAATTTGTCGAGAAAAGAATGTTCTATTTATTTTACCCTATGTATCGATTGTTCAGGAGAAGGTTTGTATCTAAATGAAAAATTTTGGGAAAATATTATTGCTTTTTTCTTTATACAGGTCAGCTCTATGTCCCCATTTGCTATTAATTTAGACTTTTTAGTCGAAGAATACACAGCTGGCAGGGGTAAATGCCCGCCGATACCCCGCCGAAAACGTCAAAGTGTCTATATAGCTTCAATTGAGAAAGGATCCATATTATTTGATAGTTTAATTGAAGCTCACAGAGCCAATGAAATTGGTTTAGTGGTTATTGATGAATTGCATTTGGTGGGTGAACGGGGACGGGGATCAACTTTGGAAATTTTATTGACAAAAATTATGTATTTGAATGGTAAGTGAGGCACAATAGTATCTCAAATTAAATTCATATGTTAAGAAACCTTGAAGGTATACATTAGCTTTAATATAGGTGCTCGACGAAATTTTAGCTTATACAATACATGCATAACAAATGAGAACGAATATACGCTTATTTTATAAAGTTCTACAAAACATGCATAACAAATGAGAACGAATATACGCTTATTTTATAAAGTTCTACAAAACATGCAAAACAAATGAGAACGAATATACGCTTATTTTATAAAGTTCAAAGGCGAGAAAGTGAATCTTGGTTTGACTACACTTCATTTTAAAGAATTTTTTTTCGCTAATTGCGACGTTGTCAATATCCCAATATAAATGGGGTTGATGTTCTTAAACAGGCCAATAAAAGCTAAGTTATTGAATTGAAAAAAAATCACGCTTGATTATATTCTTATATCTCCCATTAGAATTGTGTTAGATTGATTGTGACGTTTATAAATACTCTTTAGGGATGACTTAAGGTGCACTTATTCTTGTTGAGTAGGAATACAGAGACCGATTTAGCTTTGTGTTCTTATACGGAAAGCTTTATTTGAAAGAAAAAGACTTTAATTTCAATTTTTTCATTTTCACTACCATCTAAATCGGTTTCCGATTCACTTCAGATTTAAAACTTAGTGATACTGACCGAAGAGTTGGCCATAATTATAAGAAAATCGTCTCTAAAGTAGAACAAGTGAAAACATAATAGTGGGCTACAGCCCACTATTAAATGGCCTACACCAATTTGCCTGATACAAATATTCACGTAATGACTTTTCAAAATAAGGTATGATATGGGAAGTGGTCGAAAAAGTAGTCCGATTTGAATCTTCCAAGGTAGGCAAAATTCACAAAAATATTCTATAATTTACGACCTGTAGGTTGAATGCAACAGAACAAAACGGTACCATCCAGATCACGTGCTATTGGATAACATTTTCATAATGTATTGACGACCTTTTTCATTTAAATACAAGCTTTGCCTCCTAAATTATCTTAAGATGAATTATAGTACTATATATACATATAGTACGTTGAAATTTGGATTGAATGTTTGATCGTTCGGTTCATTAACTTAACCATAATTAACGAAAAAATCCTTGAGGCAGATACATATGCGATGCGATTTTCTTAGTTTTTTTAATCAATTCTTTCTTCCTTCTTTTCTTCTTATATTGTTCTTATTCAGCCAATATACAAGTGGTTGGAATGAGTGCTACGATAGGTAACTTAGCTGAACTATCAAAATTCTTAAATGCCGATGTTTACACAAGAGGTTTTCGTCCTGTGGAACTCAAGGAATACGTTAAATGTGGTTGCGATATATTGGAAATCAATTTGACGGAAAAGTCTCTGGAGGAAATATTCGTTTATAAACGGACTGTTAAGTTTAATGTAAGCCTTTTCGAAAAAGTTTTCCGTTTTTTAAATAAAAAACTTTTTGTTTTATTTAAGTATAGCGAAGCAGTGCTCCGCTCTGATCCAGATCATTTGGCCGGCCTAGTTGCTGAATGTTGTCCAAAAAACAATTGTTTAATATTCTGCTCGTCACGTAAAAATTGCGAAAATGTAGCCGTTTTATTAAGTCGTATTTTGCCAAAGTAGCTATCGCGAATTGCTTTCCATACCTTTTTACCTTTAAACGTTTTTCTTAATTTATATCATTTGTTTAAGACCCAAATTCCTTGATTATCGTAAACGTGATAAAGATGATCTAATGGATGCTTTGGATAAAGTTTGTGGTATTCTAAGTCCTGTGTTGGCTCGCACAATACCATATGGCGTTGCTTACCATCATTCTGGCTTAACTACTGATGAACGTAAATTTATAGAGACTGCTTATCGTCTTGGAACATTATGTGTGATATGTTGTACATCAACTTTGGCAGCTGGTGTTAATTTACCCGCAAAAAGGGTTATAATAAGAGCTCCTTATGTTGGCGCAGAATTCATGACCTTGTGCAAATATAAGCAAATGGTTGGTCGTGCTGGACGCGCCGGTTTAGGTGAAGCCGGTGAAAGCATTTTGATTTGTTCTAGTCGTGACAATATTCGAGTGGGAGAAATGTTATTCTCACCCATGGATAAAGCTTGCAGCTCATTAGATTTTCAAGGACAAGCTGGTATAAAGGTAACTTTTCTTATTAATTCAATGATATAGATATAATATATATATATATATATATATATATATATATAAATATACATGTTTCTTTTTTATTTATATATTTCCCTTCAAATTTAGTCATTGGTTTTAAGTGCTATTGGCTTAGGGTTGGCTTCTTGTCCCAGTGATTTATACCGTTTATTTGGGCTGACATTATTAGCAGTTCAATCTGAACAGTTGCATGTCTCGGTGGATTCTATGGTTAGGGATATTTTAAAGAACATGTTTAGAAACAAAGTTTTAAAGATGTCTACTAGCCAGTCATCCATTAAAGATGGAGCGGATATTGTTACCTCACAAGATATACAAAACAAAGTTGACGTCAGCCAACTAAATGAAAAGAAATTAATTATAAGTAAAAATTCTCGCTTTGAGCTAACTACAATTGGCAAAGCCGCTTTTAAGGCAAGCGTAGATTACGTTAAAGCTTATGCTATTTATAACGAGCTTAAAATTGCTCAAAAACATTTAATACTGACCAATTTTGCTCACATCCTATATCTGGTAGTTGCCTTCAATTCAAATGCAAATGCAGATGACTTATTTTCGGCGGATGCTTCAATTCTTTTTCGAGCCTACGAACAGTTGGATGATATAACGCGAATGCTCTTCACACTTATAGGCTTCACTGAAGCTCACGCTGCCAAGATGGGTAAAACTATGTCTATTCAAGGACCATTAGAAAAGCAATCGAATCGTTTGTACAAAGTTTTAATATTAAACGATATAATCAATTTGATGCCATTGCCGACAGTAGCTACTAAATACAATATAGAACGCGGCCTTTTGCAAAGCCTAACCGGCCAAACTACGGCTGGAGCGAACGCTTTGATACGGCTATGCAATGAGATAAATGAATTCTGGTGCTTTAATGCATTATTCGATCAACTTGCTAAAAAAATAGATAGATGCGGTACCTTAGAACTGGAGCCCTTGTTGGAATTGCCTAGCGTGAAAACTGTAAGTAAAACTTAATATAAATCGTCTATATATAAATTTTAAATTTAAAAAGAAATGAGACCACTTACTTACCAAGCATCTATGTAGCTTTGTTTATATATATAATTTATACGTGAATTTAATGAACACGTTGCGAACTACAAATAGGATTGCTGATTAGTGATCGTATTGTATTTTGTTATATCTATTTAAATTTGTAGAATCGAGCTAAACAACTATATACTGCCGGCTATAAAACGATTGAAGATATAGCGAAAGTGCGCCCCATTGATTTGGTGAAAAATATAGAACATATGCCTATGAAAGTAGCAAAAGAAATTGTATCCGCTGCGAAGGTAATTATTTTAAATTCACAAGCTTTCCTTTAACTCTCAATCTCAAAACCATCATATTTATAGCAGCCCGAAATTGATGCGTAATTCTGAATCGATTTTCCTAACTATTCAAAATTTGTGTAGATAGTTCTAACATTTTTGCAACACTTTTACAAGAAATTTGTAGAAACAATTTATCCTGCGACCTATGGCTTTGTGAATAGATCGAATGTCGCAAAATGTTCGTCTTTTTTTGCGGTATTCGTTCAATTCAGCTATGACGGGCTAACTGTTTTTCGATTTTAGAATATTATTTTATAAAGGTTATGTGTTATAGATTTTGATGATGGGTGTATGGGAAATTCGCCCGGAAAGAGGTTTTGCGTTTTTTGCTTTTTTATTTTTTTACTTTGTAATTTTTTTAGATTATAATTATGAAAAGATTGGATCATCTTGAAGAGGAAACGGAAGCGCTTAAAGTTTGTCTCAGACCAAATAATTGGAATGATTAATAAAATAAGTTCGCATAGCAATACTACTTACATGATACTACTTAAGTGATATTTTTAAGAAAACTTGTTTTATAAACACACACTTGTTTTATAAATAATTAAAAATTGTACTTTTATTTTTCTATTTATCAAAACTTTCTTTAACACTATTATTAGCCATTAATATGAACGTTATTATATATATATATATGTTTTTTTTTTTTAAAGAACCTGAATAAAATTTCTTTTAAAGTTTACAATAATTGTACTACGCAGTTTCGATACTCTATAAATTAACTACATTCCGAAATCGATTTATACATCTCCGTTTGTCCGCACATTAAAATAGTCATAATGCCATTCGAATTTTATCTAATATTTTCTTATATTTACTGGGTAGATGTTTCAGCATTTTAAGAGTTTTAGCTTAGGGCAATGCGATGGGTTTTAAATTATTGCTCAACGATTAGTTAACAGCCAATACTGTTTGTGTTAAGTCTTCCGCCTTTTATTTCAAGGCGATGTTGTTCGCCTATAGGTTGTTCCATCAATTTCCTGGACAAGCACAACATGAGACACAGGCAGGCGCGTTGTTTTCCCTTCTAGCTGGCGCTGCTGGTTGTGGATGCCTCTTAACTCAAGAAAAAAATATTTTCCCGCCAGACACGTGGCTCCCTTATAAAATAACATGAGATTGCTAATTGGTTAGCCTTAACAGCAACTTTTCTCATATTTGAATTGCAATTCATAATCACATTTGGCCGGCTAACGTTGACGTTGTTGCCTTCTTTTCATCCTCTTTATACAATTTTCATAATATAATATTAGATCAGTATAATTCTTAGCTGTGTTGGCTGACAACAGACATTCGACCGTTACGTGGTCAATATGTTTATGATTGGAGAATTCGTGATCTTGATTAGAGTTTTAATAAAGCGTGATACTTAAATTTCAAGATCAGCTTTAATCGGCTATTGGCCATAGAACTTTTTAAATACAAGTTTTAAGAGAACTGTAATAGAAAAGTAAGATCTTGGAATAAATTTGAAAGAGACGCATGAAACTTACAAAAGTTACACGAACGTTGGGACGAATAATCGTTACTTATCTCCTCGAATATGATTTTATTATTTTTATAATTATTTTAAGCGATACGACGACTCTTTTTTTCTCTTTCGTTGGAGACCATTATAATAGTTACTTCCATGTATTTTGATCAGCGATATCTATTGGTAAAAACGATCAAATAAGGCGAAGTATCAAAGCTTAAAATCGATGATTTTCCTCTTTCTCGACATCAAGTACCAGTTTTCAATTTAGTACTATTCAGCTATTCAGTGTATACAGACGTTTTGAACCGTCACAATATCGCGACTTTATTGCTTCCCAAGCCCAAAGAGATGTGCGTTAGTTCAGAAGAGCCATTCACATTGACACCGAAGCGGAATGTTTATGGCCATAAAGTTTTGCTGTGCATGTGATGGAATCAGCAAAGTATAGTATATTACGAGCTGTTAAAATGGAACGAAACTGAAGACTTGTGAACTATACAGTGTTGCAGCTCGAATCGGAAGTTCCGCCGCAGCCAGCGTACTTAGCAGACATAGCTTCTTCTGATTACCACTTGTTCAGATCGATGCAGCATGGCTTGATTGGTACGCGGTTTCACAATGCTGAAGAAGTGTGAAAATGGGTGGATGGTCGGGTCGCTGTTAAACCAATATTCCAATTTTGACGCGGCAACGTCATTATTGAAAATATTGTGATTAATATATATTGTAGCAATTTTTCTCTATAAATGCCTTTTTTAAGTGCAAGAATCTAAACAAATACACATTTGTCGAAAGCAGATATACGATGCAGGAAATCTACTGATGCATATTAATGACTTACCACTAATAAATGTGCAGACGCTGCATATTCTCGGGCGCACTTTTACCAACAAATATCGTTGGAAATTAGACTGTCTTCGCTTAAAAAATTCTATTTTAACAAGGGTGAATTTCATACAGTATGTTGCTTGGAGAAGCCATGCGCATATTAACACTATTGCTTGTCTTACCAAAATGCTTGTGTTAAGCAAGATTGATAATTTATGGCAATAGCTGCAAATCTAATATCAACATCCTTAAACCGGTCTATCACCAAGCCGTCAGAGCAAGTTGTTATGCTTTTCGGACCACGCCCATAAATAATATTATAATTGAAACTGGTTTCCCAACTTTCGAAAATAGACTTTATGAGTTAAAAGCTAAAATAGTCCCCAAGCTTCTTAATTCAAACAAATCTATTCTCGGTGATGACATGAGAAAGATTATTATTGCGAGGAAAATTCCAAAGTCACCATCTTTAATTGACTATTGTTGGTACGCCGCAAAACAATTGAACATTCCCTCAAAAACTTTTCGCTCTTTTGGTGTGAAACCTCCATGGATTTTGAAAGACTGCTCTTTTGACATCTCGCTGTCTATGCACAAGAAAGAAAATACTCCAAATTACGTCTTCAGGAATCTAATAGCCGAAAAACCCCAAATATTGGTACTGGAGTACTGGTTGGAATCTTTTATACACAGACGGCTCAAAATCTTCTGGTCTGTCTACTGCTTGTGCCGTGGTAGATGCTACAGGACAGGTTTTTCTCAATCACATGTTTCACGAAAGTACTTCAACTTTCACAACCGAAGTCAGAGCTATCCTTCACGCTGCGAACCTTGCCCATAAAAACAAACTCAAAACCGTCATTGTTACTGACAGTTTATCTGCATTACAAGCTATTCGGAATCCTTCGACTTCGAGATGGAACACCATCAACGAATTACGGAATATAATTACAAAACCCCGCGGGAAAAATTAAAATGTTATGGGTACCAAGTCACCTCGGTTTATTGGGAAATGAGCAGGCTGATCGAGCGGCAAAGGATGCTGCTTCTGCTCCTCTAATAATGGATGATGTCATGGAAATGGTGGATCTTCAAAGATACATTGGACGAAAAGTTAAAGAGAAAATTACATAAGAAAATCTGCAGTACCATCATCAACACTACTCTTCCATTAATCCTCAATTAACTCCACCTTTATATCCAACAAATGTTGAGAAAACCAAGATCCTAACATTTTCAAAAATTCGCCTTGGTCATACAATTGCAACTCACCAATAGATCTTGATGAAGTCTTCCTCCCCAATCTGCGGTTATAGACAAACTCTTACTATAAAGCACATTCTCTGCGACTGTCTTAACTTTTCCTTGGCTAGAAGTATTGTATTTGGAACGATTAACCCTTTCGACATTCTAAAATCAGTTTCAGAATCGAACATCAATTCTATATATTACTTTATTAATACTACTAAGCTCATTATCCAATGTACATTTATTCAAATTAGAGCCAAAAGCCTGTGTTGCTAGTGCTCAATGTTTTTTTTTTTTTTTTTTTTTAGTCTAAGAATTTGTTTCATTAGTCTAAAATTATAATAATAATAATAATAATAAGTGAAAAAATGATCAAAATACCTGCAAGCACCTAATAGAATCATCCAAGTTTATATGCGTTCACAACTAGCGTGCTAAAGAAAAATTTCAAATTTTTTCATTTATTACAGAAATTTTGTTGTCATAAATGATTTTGAAAAAATTTTTAAGGAGATAAGTTAATTTATTGAAAATTTTAGTAAATTTTAAAAATTTGTAGCGGAATTTCGAAAAGCTTTAGTAAATTGAATTTGTAAACATGCCCTTAATTAAAAGTGAATTATTATCTGGTGTTTTAAGTGATCTATGTTATCCGATAAGTCTTAGAGAAATCTTTAAGAATATATGTCGTCATCATCCAGAGGTCTCCACACACTTTCTTACGAACATTAAAACTGCCATAGATGCTGGGATGCGCTACGGTTATGTCGATAAAATCAATGATCAATATCACGCCTTGACTTACAGTGTCTTTGAAGACTTGAGTGATCAACCGTCGCATTATGAATTAGAGCGTAGCGATTCGTTTGTGATTAAGCCTCTGGACTTAAGTTGTAGTGGTATGAGCGAAGCAGTGGATACTGACCAATTGGGCAGTCAAAGTGATGAAGGCGCTGGTAAAAATCAAGATAATTAAAACAAGACTATGTGTTGTCATAGCAACAATCAATTGAGTCTATTAAAATTCCCTCCTACTCCAGTGCAATTTTTCCATATTCGCACAATCGCTGTCGTTAACGCATTACTCGTGGCCGTAATCGTTGAAAGTCTATTAGCCTTTTTGTTCACTCCGTAATTCATAAAATTTGTACAGTAATGCCAGTCCTTTAATAAACAAATTTTGCGTCTCGAATTAAATAACATAAACTAATGCATGATTTCAATTTTATTACATAGTTGGCATGCGCAGTTAAATCCTTTGCGAGGCAAATAATTGATTTGCATTCAACATCTTGAAAGTGGATTTAATGAAAATGGCGAATATGATTGATCAAGATTAGCCTTTATCGCGATACAAATATCTCAAAATTCCTACAACCTATACAGTACTTTAGACCATCTTGCCGAGATATTAGTGTTCATTTCTTTATTTTATTTTTGATTCTGCGTCGACTGGTATTGTGATGGATGCAAAAAAAAATTGACTTTTATTTTGCAATTCAAAGATGACGTCATTGTAAGCCTGGTTTTGACAATCTATTTTTCGGGAAACGAAGATGTGTTCGAATATAATTCCTATTTCTTTTTCATCAAAGATTTTTGCAACCAAAAATGTCACTTTCATGCATCTGTCAAAGACAAGAAAAGATCCAACTATCCTTTCCGGGCGATTTGGGATGAATGTCGAAATTTTAAGGAAATAATTTCGCATAGGTAATGTGTTTTTTTCCATCTTTTCTAGAGGATTCCAATCATCTGAGAAATGAATTGATGGGTTAATGTAGTAGTGTCACCACGTAGATGGTCTGGAAATGTGTTTTCGGTGATTGGAAGAAGTGCAAACGTTATAGTGACATTTGGCTCGTCATTAGATACGCTAGAGCATTTCGTTTAATACACTTATTTCATATAATGACTTTTCAAAAGAAGGAGTGGTCGAAACAGTAGTCCGTTCTGCACCATTTTCCATAGCTTTCGCTCTTAGGATAAAACACGTCAGAGTAGCAAATTGCGACCTGTAGGTTGAATGAATATATGAAAACAAGACAGACGGACAGACAATACTAGACCGATGTGAAAATTAATTCGGAATGGATCGGTATAATGAAGAGATGAGTGTATTTTAAACGGAGCCTTATTTGCGGAATGGTCGAAAGAAGTAGTCTAATCTAATCTACTTGCAGCAGCTTTCGTCGTTGCACCAAAACACGTCGACTTATTAAATGTAATTTAGAAGATGATTTTGAATCGATTGGTAAAGCAAATTGTGGACACGTTACTAAATACTCATGTATCATAAGTGGCGTAGGTTGTAAGACGAAAAAAAAAAAAACAAGTGAGGAAATTATATTCAATCGTGACCGAATCTTTTATATCCTTCGCAGTTAGTTATCTTGTAAAAGGGAAGGAAAATGAGAGCACTAAGTTCTCATGCTGTATAATATCGAGTGGGCGCGGCTGATTTTTTCTATTTGCAAAATTTTTGTCGAATAGGAGTGTGGGCGTTGTAGACGTATCTTTCGAAAAGTTTACGTCAATTCCAAATTCTTTAGCCGATTTGTAGGCATTTCGTTAACGTTAATTTATGGGGGTTCTTAAGCTTGATTCTGCGCCTCATAAATGTATTCAAAAAAACAATTAAATTTTAATACACTTTATTACACTATAGTAGCGGTGGTCAATTTTTTCCATTCCCGTACAGGTGCTACAACATCATCGATAAAATATTTGTTCAATAATTTGTACATTAATCTGCAATAGATTATGAGTAATGAGCAAAAAGACAATTTTTTATTCCTTTTGAAAAACAGCGGAGCTTTCAGTTCACGTGATACTGTGACCGTGTCCATTGATCGATTTGGCCCATTTTAAATCCCAACCTGCGTGCAAGATCTTCCAATGTTTCTGCCAAATTTGAAGTCGATAACTACATTTCGGCGGCCAATAGAACGTTTACGCCAAGAGACATTACGCAGACGGAGCGACGGACATGCTTGAATCGATGCAGAATTTGAAGCTGATAGAGAATATATATACATATATATTTTGTGACGTCTGTAATGCTTCCTTCTGGGCGTTGCAAACGATTTGACAAAACGAATATACCATAATCATGAGTTATCCTTCGGTGATCGGTGTAAAAGTGAGGAGAATTTTAATTTTATGAATTTAGAAGGTAGCATAAAAGTTGTATAAATATTTAAAAACTTGTGTATATTTTTAAAAAATGTTTAATAATTTTTCTTCTATTTATTTCCATGGTAACGTGCGTGCTATTTATGTGCCATATGACTGTTTATATATCAATTAAAGTTGATGGTGGATATTAAAAAATAAAATGAATAAAAATTTTCTGTTGTTTTTCTTACATACATACATGCGGCATAAATATAGGAAAATGATCGAAATAATTCTGTCGTTTACAAATAATACACGTTACGTAAACGTTAACAAAAAAAAAAAAAAAAAAAATTAAAAACTAAAAAAAAAGAAAAAAAAAAGAAAAGAATTTATTATTTTCTGAACTATAAAATTATTACATTTTAAGACAAAGACAACTTTGTCCTTTGATATCACGAAGTTTGAGTATTATTTCATTTTCGTTTTTTAATATAATAATTTAAGAAGAGTCCTTATAGCATTTATTTTAAAGACAGTACTTTTACTAAAACTTGCAAAGTGCAGACACGCTCTTAGCTAATCGTAACAGGCAAATCGTAAAACTTTTTTTTCTTTGTTGTAGGCGCGATTTATAAGATTTTATACACTTAATATGTTGCGGCAATATTTACAGTTGATAGGAAAACCTGCAAATTAATAATAAAATAATATAGAAATAAATAAAGTGCATTAAATAGAGTGAACAGATAGATTTTGAATTTCAATTATACATAGAAAACAAGTAAGAACATTATCGTCGGGCAAGGCCGAGGTTAGATACCCTATATCCCATTTATACGCTCGTTTTGGTAATAATGTAACAAAACTTGCAAAGCCGGCATATTAGAGGATGTCCAGAACATCGTATGGCTTGACCCAATTTTGTGAACTTAATTTCCTTCCAAAAAATTTGATCATTTTTCAGTTTGCATCATAAAAAAACTAAAATTTAGACTTTGCACTCCATATAAGGGCTTGCTTTTCATAATAAGCCTTCTATATATATATATATATGTTAGAATCTAAAAAAGAGACCTATTTGATCCAAATTCCCTACAGTTATTTTTTTGGCTAAATTAGTACTACTATGAATCAATTTTCATCTTAAATATTAAATATTAATTCGCTTTTCTTATTGATGAGAAATCTTATATGGCGTGGGGTTCAAGAAATAGATCCATATGTTTCATATTTGGTTCGCTTATGTCTAATCGCTGCCATGAAAAAATTGTTCATAATAAAACATTAACAATTCGGCCTTTTTGGCATATAAGGATTTAAATGCCCTAAGAATCGTTATGTGGTATCTAAAAAATAGTTCTACGTAGTCCGAACTCGGTAAGGTTAATACCTTTATTAATTTACTCTTATGATTTGCAATCTTTTTCCATATAATGACTTTTCCAAATGAGGCGTTATGGGGAGAGTGATCGAAAAAGGGGACAGGTTCGAACCATTTTCAATAGTCTTTATCTTTCCGTCAAAATGCTTTAAAAATTGCGATCTATAGGTTGAGCAGAAAAACGATATGGGCATCCGGACATACAAGCGTATTCTAATAAAGGCTCCATTCCTTTTACTTTTTACGCACGTCCGGGTAAACTTAACATAGCCTGCATCACATGTGGTGTAGGGTATAATTAATATAAATTCACATCCAACGTTATAGGGTTGTTTTGTTTTCAACCATTTTTAAATTACAAAAGTAGTCATGATTTTTACTAGTGATCACCTTCGGCCACAAAATGCTTCCTTTAGATATTAATTTGCTGACATATTCCGTAATAATTTCGATTTTAATATCGATTCTAGCGGCAAACAGCTAATTTCAAGTTGTGCTTGTAGATCATATAAAAGTGAAAGAATACAAGAATCGATGGAAATTGCTCCACGACTTGGACGGAGTTGACGGATCCTCTTGTATAACATTTAATTCGAGTTACGCGACTAGGTAAGTCGTTTATCGTACATGTAAAAAGGAAGGTAACGTAAAATACAAGAATTTTATAATCGCTTTACATAGAATGTTCAAAACTCATAGCAAGTGCAAAAGTCATAATAGTCGGGTAAGGCCGATTAAATATTTTACACCATTCTAGATCCCTTCGTCTGATAGAATTCTTTATTTATTTTTCTGATAAAATGTCAAATATTGCTACTTGTTTTATGGTAGCCCTTATATGAAACTGAAGGGAAGTCAAATTTACCAAATTTTAATCTTCTTGCCTGAAATCACACTATTCTCGTTATAAAGTAGACACGTTGTCCATCTTTATTTGATAAGGCTTCTATGAAAAGCTATTTATACCCACCACAGAACGCTGAGGGGGATATTCATTTTTTTAATACGTTTGCAACGCCCAGAAGGAAGCATCATCAGAGACCTCGCAAAGTATATTTATTCCTGATCCGTATCAAATTTTAAATCGATTTAAGCACGTCCGTCTGTTTATCTCTGCGTCACTCCGCCGGTGTAATTTCTGTTTTAATTATTCTCCTGGTCACAAAAATAAAGCTATGGACTTCAAATTTTTGCACGCAGGTTGGGACTTAAAATGGGCCAAATCGATGGGATAGCACGCCCACAGTACCACATAAACTGAGACCCCCATTGTTTTTCAAGAGGAATAAAAAATTGTTTTGTTGGTTATTACTCATAAACTATAGCGAACAAATTTACAAAAATGTGAACGCATATTTTATGGACGATGGCGTAGAATTTGTGCACAAAATGGGAAAAAATATTCCACGCCTACTCAATATTATAGTGTATTAAAATTTAATTGTTTTTTGAATGCCTTTATAAGACGCAGAATCAAGTTTAAAAAAATCCATAAAGTATATAAATTCTTGGACACTTTCAAATTCGGAATGCATCTAAACATGTGTGTCTGTCCGTGTGTTCATTTGTCTGTCTACACAATTGTGTGTTGTGGTAAAGCTTCTCCCGTTAGCGAAAATGAAGATATCGCTTACAAATCGGCAAAAGTGTCTGAAAGCGATTTAAACTTTTCGAACGACACGCCTATTCGACAATCTTTGGTCATCGAATCAACTAGCTATATAACAATTACAAAAATGTACCTGTTGTACATTTGCTTGCATGAGTATCATCTTTAAGAATTACGAGAGGCTTGCTCAACCCGTGATTTAGTTAATTTAAGATAGTATAATGGAGGCTTTATGTTTGAAATATCTGATCTATTTTTCGATCTGAATATTTTATAGAATTCAGTTTTCTCTCAAATTTAACATCGGTCTTGTTATCGCTTGTTTCTATCACAGAACGCTTCATTGATTTACGAATTTTGATAGCTAAAGTAAAATAATCCGGGATTACATTATAATATGTATAGATGAACTTCCTTCAAATTTTGATATCATGAAGAGAGTTTAGGTAATAGCTTAGTACGAAGTATGATTAAAAATTGTTAGGCGAATAGATTTGTTAGCGTATACAATACACGTTAATGTAAAGAAGAATTGGAAATTGACTTGGAATAGGGTCTTTTCAACTTGGAAGAAATTAAGATAGACGAATGCGATGAGGAGAGAATTAATTGTAGAAATGAAAGCGATGACATATTCATCATCGTCGTTATAAATAAATAGAATATCTGTTACGACCTTTATAGGATTATTTTTTTTTTTTTTTTTTGAAAAATAGCTTTAACAATAGAGATACAAGTACATACATTAAATGGCTAAATGGCCATAATTTTCATTGGATTTATTTTAGATTTTCTCTCAGTAATCATAATCATCATAATAATGTTGGTGTTTTTCTTGCTGTTGTTGTTGTTGTTGTTGTGATATAGGTGTCATTCTCGAGCCGTATCCGTTTCTTGATTGTATTTGCGGCGCTGAGATAATCGTACGCCGGCGGATATCTGTTGATGAAAAATACGAATCACTATTGAAATTATTATTTTCATTTGATTGTTGCTGTTGTTGTTGTGGTTGTTGATGATAAGATTGAGATTGTGACTGTGTTTGATGTGATGGTGATGGTGACGGTGGCACAGATTGATGATAATGATAATTGGCAGCGGATGATGGATTGCTATTTACAAATGGATCAGATGAAGAGAAACCATTTTGATACGGACGATTATTGTTTTGGTTATTATTTTGAGGCTGATTGTGATGATTGTGATGAGGCTGATGCGGCGATAGCGGTTTAAGCGTTGGATTGAGAGCATCATTAAGCGTGACGTCGTAATCGGTCTCGTATAGCTCATCCAAAGTCGCCTTGTTTGAAGTTTGCGGTTCTGTACGTGGTTGCGATACCGGTAGGGGACTACGTGGTGGCAATGTGGTGCGCGGTCCCGCTTCACGCAATAAAGGAACACCGTGCTCAAGCAAGTGTACACCGGAAATGGTAGAACCCATATTTATTTGCATGGAACTCGGACTGGTGTCGGTGGTTTGCGAATCAAGCGGCTTAAGGGCAACACCGACAGGTTGAAGACCGCGCGGTAAATACGGACTGCCACCACGTGAAGGTAAAAATGGACGCTTGACTACACGTACCGAGGCTGGACGATTTACGGCTGCCTGGCTTTTACCGGGTGCAGTTGGTGGATCTGCATCCTCAACTTGCGTTGATTCTGACTCATCGCTAGTAATTGGAGGAATTGGCGGGCTACGTGAACGACTCGGTAGACTAGGTGCAGCTTTGCGTCGACCTATACCAACAGTTGATGGTCGACTTCTTAATGGTTTTTGCTCAAGCTCACTTTCAAATTCCTCCTCATCTATTTCTTCAGAAGGCTCGGGAATTCGCGGTTTCTTGGCACTTTTCCGTCCGTTGGGTCTTGAGCGTCGAGCTGGACGTTCATCGTACTCATCGTCAAAAAAGTCAACATCATCGTTAACATTTGCACGATTGCGTGTTCGGCCTAAGTAACCATTTCTTCGACGATTAATACCACGACCTACGTAACGTTCTTCAACACCATAATCTTCTTCATCAACTACTGTTGTTGATTTTTTGGGCTCGACTGTGGGTTTTCTTAGAGTTCTAGTAGGTTTTTGATTACGTCTTCTGGCTGTGGGCAATTCATCTTCTTCGATTGGCACATCATCTACGATGCGTCTACGTGAGTGACCTCGTTGTGCTGGTACGTCCACATAATCTTCATCTTCATAATAATCGGTTTCATCGTCCTGCGATGAGGCGAGAGGAGGTCTTATCGTAGTTGCTGTTTTCTGCACAGGATACTGAAATTTTTTTTTTTCGTTTATAGGAACTGGCCGGGAAATTCGCGGTGGTGCTCTAGGACGGGCATACACTGATGATGGCGCTGCTTTAGGTGTAATGAATTCTTCTAATGGTTTAGATGTGGTTTTTAGTTTGGGTGCTACATCTTCTTCGGCAGCATCAGCATCTTGATCGAAAGCATGGGCGTGGGGTTTCTCGTACTCGTCCAAATCGTCAAGATCACTAGCAGCTGAGGGAGTGGGAGGTGGGCGTCTATCATTAACACGTTTGCGACCAGATATGCGACGGGGTGGTGATTCGACTGGCTCAGTAAATTCATCAGTCAACACAGGTTGAGATTTTTTGCGACTCGTAATCGGCCTGTCTTCGCTTAGGCTACGTCTTTCATCCGCATTCGCACGTCCAACTAGTGAGCCCGGTTTTCGGCTACTTATCTTCCGACGTTCAGCGGTTACTACAGGTTTAGCCCGAGGCTTTGTGCGATCAAGTTTGCGACGTTCAACTTCGTAATCGTCATCAATATCGACATCAGGATCATCACGGAAACGATCTCTCGAATTCGGACGTCTAAGAGAGAGGAATAAATAACGCTTATAAAAGTTATCGACAACATCTTGAAGTGTGTTTATTACCTAGGTCTTAAGTCTGTCATGTGTTTTTCATCTTCGAGGTAATCGTCTTCATAATCGACCATGGGCTTGCGATGACGAGGTCTCTGCTTGCGTCGCCGGTTCAAACGCTCTTCATAATATTCCTCATCATATTCTTCTTCATCATAGTAATAATCGTCTATGGGTCGGCGATTTACAGGTCGTCTTAAAGGCCTCAATGGTCTCACCGGACGTCTTTTAGGCGTCGGAGGAGGTTCTGTTGTCGTTGTGGTGGTCGACGTTGTTGTTGTTGCCATATATAAATCGTCATTCCTAAGTTATTGTTAGAGGCTAAAAACTTTTGATTTATGTTATAATAATAATAATATTAACATACCGATTCCAATACTTCTGCGAACCTTCACAGTCAACATCCGATACAAAATGACATATGAACGTTTTCTGATCAAAGGCTGTAAAATTGGCGCACAAAAAATCGTGCCGTATACCATAAACACAATGATGGTAAACCTGCAATCAAAACAACAATGAATCGTAATTTTTTTTTGCTAATTTGGAGGTTAGGGTCGTTGTTTAAATACAATGTTTAACTTGAAGTTCCCGTAGTTAATTAATTTACAAATCATTAATATGAACATTTATGCGAATGTTTTCTTGCATTGTGAGCACATGAATGGATGGTCATATGCTTTAGATAATTCAGGTCAAGATAATTATTAAGAATTATTAGTCTTAAGAGTTACCTGACACTTGTGCTCAATAGAAGCGTAGAAACCATCATGCAAGCCATCACATTTAAAATGTATATCTTCCTCTGGCGGTACTGTGGCAAAAAATGGATAACTGGATAGATTAAAACTAGAAAGATGTACACATTTTTGAAATTAAAATATATAATCAATGATAGCTCGATTAAAATGCTTACCCTCTTAATTCTCGAGGTAAATTTGGATCCCATATATAATCGATTTGCGGTATACCAGTTAGTTTGGAATTTTTCAAATGTCCCGTTGAATTGTTATTGTCCGACTGAAAATAAAAATAAACAGGTTCTTATCTTTAATGATCTTGCGATTACGCATTCATTCGCTTTGTCTATATCCCGACAGAAAACAAAAAACTAATACAAATGTCATTAACTCCTAAACATAAATCAAAATATTTTCATTTTTATAGAATACACTATTATTTTATTCTATTCTTTATGGACGTGATCTGAATAGACAAACTAATGTTACTTTCACCTTGAAATTTTACCATATAAACAATAACAAAATGTTATTAATTTGAAATTTTTAGTGTAAGTAAGTGGAACGCATGCATGTTTCAACCAAATAAGGAATTGCTTTGAAAAGCAATTAAACTTTGTATCAAACACTTTTGTTTTCGAAAGTTTGCTTAAATATTTTTATTATTGAAAATAGACAGTGAAACGCTTACAATATTATTTCGATAATAGGCGAGAAGATACGAGCTTTCGAGAGACAAAAGCAATTGTATTGTGTCATAATATTAAGAATATAGGCAGCATAGCGAACACAACTTCCCGAATGCAAACTTTCAAAATAAAGGTATATCGATTTAACGGGATGGCGAACATCCAAAGGAAAACCGATGATTGTTATAAATATACCTAAGGGAGCAAATAAGTTTGATTTGGTCGAATTTGAATTTCTACCTCGTTTTCCTCGGCGACGGGGATCCTTCCGTCGGAGAGTCGTCGAGGGTATCAGGATTCGTGTGCGTGCAGATTTCCTCACCAATGTATCCAGCTACTCAGGAGGTCCAAAGCACAATTAGTAGGTTATCGAAAAGGTAATGATAATATAATGTGATGGATGCCTGGCATATGCTAGGTTGATTGCTTCTCCTAATACAATTAATCCAAGGGGGAGAGTAATAGGGGTGGTTTACCCGGAAGTATGGAAAATCTGAATTGCAAGTATGAAATTATGAACACAATGGCACACGCATGCGTACGTGTCCATTCCATCTTCCAGGCATATCTTCATTTTTTCGAACGTGAACACACACCCCGCAGATACTACAAGTTTGACGGACGGACATGCTTAGGCGTATTCAGAATTTGAAGTTGACTAAGAATTCGTTTGAAGCTTGCTTTTACGCGTTATAAGATTCTTGAAAAAAAAGTTATATTTTTACAGACAGTAGTGATAGTGGGCAGGTGTAGTTAGTTCTTCTCATTTGTGTGCAGCTGTTATAGAATCGCTCGTAGAATGTACGTTCAAATTTTTGTAAATTTATTTGCTGGAGTTTATGAGCGATGAGCAAAAAACCAATTATTTTATTTTCAGTTTACGTGGTACTGTGGGCCGATTTAGCCCAACCAGCCTGCAAGAGTGTTCAAAGTTTCTATCAAATTTGAAGCTGATAGCTTAATTTTTGCGACCAGGCGAGTGTTACCGACATACCGCACATAGATAGACAGACAAACAGATATGGCTTAGTCAATTCAGAATTTCATTCTGATCAGGAATGTATATACTTTGTGGGATCTCTAGAGCTTCGTTCCGGGCGTCGTAAAAGTTTTGAGAAATTAAATCTCTCATCCTTGAGTACAACTAGTCTATAGAGGGGCTGAGAAAAATTGATCTAAAATCTGGTGGAAATGTTTTCTAGAGGAAATTGACACACCTAGGAGTAAGTACGTCTATCTTTAAAATTTGCTTTTGCAATGCATTAATGCATTAGTTTGAGTTAATAGTTATCAAAAATCCGTCTTTAAAGCGAATCGAATATTGATAAGTATATCTTCCTTAATAAGGGATACGGTTGCTCTCGTTATCGAATAGTGTATCTAATCGTAAATAACGGTTTGTTACTAATAAATAATAAAGCAAACAATATAATATTGTACAATACCTTTTCATCACCTTCATCGCTAGTCGCCTCTTCTGGTGATGGTGTTGTACTAGTCGTTGTTGTTGTTGATGTTGTTGTTGTTGTTGCTGCTGCTGATGTTATACTTTTCGCTGATGTGGCTATAGAAACTTTTTTAAACGGTCCAGCAGCACTTATGCTATTAAATGTGGCTAAAACTAAGAAGAAGAAAGTCTACATTTATTAAACCTTATCGCCATAGGCAGCAAACTTAAGTTTTTGAATTTGAATTGTTTCTCGGAAAGACTCACTTACCAACTGCTAACAGAAACCATCGTTTACTACTCTTCATTGTTTTTGTTATTAGTGATTGTTAAGTGAGACTTAAGATCTAAACGAAAACCTGAAATTCAAAAGCAAAACGAATCAATAATGATTATAATTATGCTTTTCGTATAGAAAAAGGTAAACTTTTCTTAACATTTTAATAATATTTGAAGCATCATATGAAGATTATTATATAATAATACTAAGACATAAATTCTTCATCGTTCATTTCATGCTGAAATGTGAAACGTTACACATCTTGTCATATTTTTCACAGCATAGAGAGTCGTTGATTTCAAGAGAACTGAAATATAATTTTCAAAACATTGCTACGCAATCAGGTAAATACAGACACACACACATGCATACGTACATACGTATATATATATATATATATATATATATATATACAAGTGCGATCACAGTACACAAAATATTCCTATCTTTGAATATTATTGTATGTGGGTTGTTTTGATGAGGTATTCATATATATGTAGGTATTTAACAAGGAAGTGTCTTTAGTTTATTGCTAAAAAGCAATGCTTTTGGCATATTAAAGAAAGAAAATCAAGTTAACGTTAAGGCAGTTTATTCATTTATTAGGAATTGCAGTCACGTGTCACTTTGACACTTTAAGTAACGTTTTTTTGCCTTTTATTTTTTTTGTTGTTTCTCTTTTTATTTTTCGGTTAAAAGCTTAAAAACCCGCTTGTTTTTTAGGGTAAGACGACAATAACGTCATTTTTAAACGTTGACAACAGATATTTTTTCTTAATTTTTTCTTTTCTTTTGAGATATAGAACCTTTCGTTCTGTAAACTTAGTTAAATAAAAAAAGGCTTGGGGGACTGAGAGCATTTGTTAGGGATATATATCTTTTGTTAACTATCTCTCTCTCTCTCTCTCTCTCTCTCTCTCTCTTTCACTCTCTTTTTCTATATATCGCTCTTTCATTCCTTCTTGTAAAATCTATGAACTATAAGTAAATTAAAACGAAAGACAAGTGCAAAATTTATATAGAAATTCTAGATAGAAAAGATATAAACATATATTAACTTAGATGAAATTATGTGCAACTCAGAATATGAATGTAGAGGCATTAGCATAACGCGGTCGATCATTATTATTGGATTGGATTAGTGAAATACAGAAAGATATTGAACTACTCATACGAATTCATTCGCTTTGTAAATGTCGTGGTTGTAGACAGTACTACGGGGAGTGTCTACGACAAAAAAAGTGACAATAATTTGACTACGATCGATTTCGTATAACTAAAAGTGACATAGTTTCGCACCATCTCTTATTTTAGTGATGGAGGGTTTCATTTCTTTACCTAACATGAAAAGAGAAAAGAAATGGGGAATGGACAAATAACGGGCTGTGTTCGCATTTTTTATGCTCACCACTTTCGCAAGAAACTGAGAAAAAAAATGAATTTTCGGTATTGGCGGGCATGGCCGAATTTTCTTAATTTTTATATAAATATTGGAAGATAACCCATAGAATATGCGTCGAAGCTTTCATAGTGTTAGCTATTTTTAATTAGTAATGAGCAAAAGAAAAAAAGGAGGTGTTTTATCGTAGGCGTGTGCTTTGACCAATTTGGCACATTCTCAATACCAACATGCATGCAAGAATTTTTGCCAACTTAATTGTTGCGATCGGGAGAATGCTTACCAAGGATTGACAGACGAACGGGCCTACATCAATTTAAAGTGTGGGTGTAATAGAAAAAGAAAAAGTTTTCACATTTTTTTTTGCTTGCTGCAGTGATCAATTGTAACCGCCATTGACGGCAGAACGTTGCCAATTACTGAATCTCAGAAAATAGGCCATCATGCGTCCTATCAATGACACCATCTTCTTTGATCATCATCATGCATTAAAAAAAAGCGATAGTAAACAAACAGAGGATAAGGAAAGCTATAGTAGAAGTGCACATAACTATTCAAGAGAAGATGGCACGAATATTGGAAACGGTTAAATATTAAAAAAGATAACTAACATAGGCGACGAAATACTAAAATAAAGAAGTATACTAACGTAGGCGGAGTGTGTCCTTTTTCTGACTAAATTCTAAAATACCTGTTGATAGATGAAGTGAGGATGGCAAAAGGCGACAGCGAAGAGTGTTAAAAATGGGAGGCAAAGAGATGGCAACGGCAAAATGCTTAACAAATTTGATTGAAATCATCTTAGCGGTGTCCCGCCATCACTTTGCTTATTCCAGCCGTTCTCAAAGTTATCAAAGTCAAACGAAAAGATGATTGCGGACTATAGTCTGTTGGAAAGCTGAGAATAGCTCTGGAGATGTTATAATGTAATGTGGCGCGTTTCGAATTGAGTGAACCGGACAGCATTACAGTTACATTATTATTATGTGTGTAGGACCTCAGCAGTTTTGACATGAGAACAACATAATGATAAGATGAGTACACTTGTAAGTCCCTTCATTATGTTAACTGCAACAGGCGAAGGTGAATTGAAGGATAAGTAAATTTGCTACTTTCAGTAGCACTCTTAACGAGTGTTCGCTAAATTCGATTGTAACTATAAGGAGCATATTTTTCATTTCACGCAAGCAAAGCTAGCGATCCAGGTGTCTTTTATATGAAACTTTACAAATTCTGGGATGTCTTCAGCTCATAGCGAAGGTGTAGAATTTTTTTACTTCTATGGTGTGGAGATTTTTGTAAAGTTAACAACCCTGCTATGGAGATGTCTCTTTTCATTTTTGTTGGCACACATCTGTTAGTGCCTAACTTTTTAGCCAATAGTTGGCTAAACCTGACGGAGTATGCTCTTCTTATTCATTTACATTATGATATGTCCCGTTCAAGTTCGTCTATCCTAGGTTTTACTTCTATAAATGCTTCGTCTTTCTTTTACCTCTTGTTGTTTGAAAATTTAACTCGCTGTGTCTTTAATAGATTTTTTCATACTCATATTAAGCCCTCTACATTGAGAATTGAAAATGAAGTAAGGATAAGAAAGAAATATATAAAAGAGAGTTTAATAAATTGAATTAAGTCTGCCTCTATTATTTTAAGTTGTCTAATTCTTCTTTTCTTAATAGTTACCTCGATATTTACAATGACTATATTAAATTTGTCCGTACACTCTGCTCTACCCGAAGAGACTCTAAATATCACGTTTCCAGAATAGTTTTTAAATAGCTTTCAGAAATGCTATAAGACCGCTTTTCATCTTTCCCTGAAATTGTTTCGCTAGTTCCATATTGATGTTTTATAGCGCCAAAACGTCGAAAGTATCGAAAATAATTATTTGATTTGAAACTTCAGAGACTAAGTCATCTCCCTACGACCATTAAATTTATCATACATATGTATATATATGTTTTGTATTGACATTTCATTTAATTTTCCCTTTAGATATGAAGCTCAATAGCTATTTTTCTTTCGAGAAAACACTCATACGCAATCGAGTACTATTAACCCAAAATTCAAATCCGATATCGGGGTTTGCTCGTTAACGACAACCATAAACCGAACCCTATTCTTACAATGTAAATTGCTAGCTTTATTTCTTACAGCAAAGGTCCGACAAATACTATAAGAACATGCATGCAATAAGAAATATGTCAAATAAAGAGAGCGCCGTAAAAATACAATAGACTATATAAATTTTCTTTCATTCTGAACATCGTCTTTATAAAAAAAAAAAATTTTTAACAAAAAAATTAAAAATTCATCTGATTACCCTACATACAGATGCACATTGAATCGCTTTAATCTATGAAAACTTATTGCAAATTTAAAGAATTTTATTAACAAAAATAAAAAAAAAAATCAAAGTCGGTCGTGACCGAATCTTTTATATTCATCATTATTTACCCCAAAAGAAGATAAAAAAACGAAATGCTCATGTTCTATAATATCGAATGGGCGCAGTTGATTTCTTTTATTTTTGAAATAAAAGTTTTTGTTCCAGAGGCATATGGGCGTTATAGGCATGCCCTTTGAAAAGTTTAGGTCAATTTCAAATTTGAACGCGATATTTTTATTTTCAGTAACGGGAGAAGCTTGACCACAAGTACTACACAGTAGCGCGGACAGACAGATAAACAAACGAACAGGCGGACATGTTTAAGTGCATTCAAGACTTGAAACTGGCCAAGAATTTGTATACTTTATGGGGTTTTTGAAGCTTGTTTCTGCTCGCTATAAACGAATTGAAAGAATAAATACGTTTTGATACACTATAATATTGAGTGGGCATGGTCAATTTTTCCCATTTTTATGTGCAAATGCTACAGCATCGCCGATAGAATATGTTTTCGTATTTTTGTACATTTATTTGCTTTAGTTTATGACTAATGAGCAAAAAACCAAATTTTTTATTTCCTTTGAAAAACGGAGGTATAATGTGGGCGTGCCCAAGGACCGATTTGGTCCATTTTCAATATCAATATGCCTGCGAGAGTTTCCGCTGTTTCGGCCAAATTTGAAGTCGATAGCTGCAGTTTTGCAGCCAGGAGAACCAACCAAGAGACCAACAGACAGACAGACGGACATGTTTAAATCGATTTAGGGTTTGATGCTGATCAAGAATAAATATACGTTGTGAGGTCTCTGAAGCTTCCTTCTGGGCGTTGCAAACGTTTTAACGTAATGAATATACCCCTCATCGTTCGGTTCGGTGGTGGAGAAAAACTTATGATCAATACTTTTTTTTTTGCCGCCAAACTTTCATTTCAACCCAATGAATTATTTGATTTTATTTTAATGGTTTTGATATTTTCATATGAAACTAATGTTAATGATACGTTACGGTGTCTTGAATAAATTAATGATAACACACACACACAAACACATAAAAACACAAGCGCATACATTGCTGCACATGTAAAAAAAAGCAGTTTCCGCGACAAAATGACTTTATCGTCAATAAAAATCGCTAACAACATACAACATAAAGTATTTCCTAATGATTAGCATTGAACTGGCACTGAACAAAATAAACTACAAAAGCAACGCATAAAAGCTTAGTAAACCAAAACGCTCGCCACCTGAATGCTTGCCACAATATTTCAATTAATTTTTAATTTTTATAA